CACTGGAAAAAAGTTTTTCTATTGCTTTTATAAAATAACTTTCCCGAGAAAAAAACGCAAAACTCTTTGTATGGCACTGATTAAAAGAGAGATTCTTACCAGTCGCAAAATCTTGTCCACGAAGTCTTGCACGCGTAACCAGTTCTTGTTTGCAAAAAGATGCTTTGCAAAATACGGATTTTTCACGCTTAAAATGTCAGCTTAAGCGAAGAAAAATTGACTCGCCTTCTTTGTAACGATTTTCCTTGTTTCAGGCGACGAAGGAATGGGGAAATAAAGTAAACTTGTCGAGTTTTGAACTCGAAAACTTTTTCAAATTCGTGCTTGCGTGATTAGCGCGCGAAAAGCCAAACAACTTGACGCCACAACCATGTTTACATACTCTGATGCAAACACTCCTCTCGGCCAATCAGAGCGCGCGTACTATCTTAGTTATTTTATAAACCAAAACATTAACCACACCGAGTTTGCCTTGCACTTATTCTCTGGCCTGGTCAGCAAACCCTAACGTAACCACCTTGAAAAAATAAATTTTAGTCTCAAAGTCTCAGATTCTAGTTTTGTAGCTTTCCACTGTATCACACAATCTTCATCAGCAATAAACGCTCAGTTTTGTAACGTAAAACAGAGATGGGAGGTATGAACTTCCCGTGATTTTTAATCATTTGTTGTCACGTGACTAATTCACGTGTCTTGAACTAACAGTATATTACTGATGAGGACTGTGCGAAAGCTGCAAGACTAAAATCTGAGACTTTGAGGCTAGAATTTATTTTTTTCAAGTTTGATTACCAAGGTCTAAGAAAAAGAATTCATGGAATTATATCCAGCTTGGCTATAAAAACTGCTTCTATTTGGCTCGTTAGTAGAGTAGGAGGTGTAGTCAGGAATTACTTGTGTTAGTAAGAGCTGTAGAAGTGAAAAAAGAATAAAGACGAAAATGTGAAGTCTGAGGCTCTCGGTACCTTCTTGTGTACTGAGCGACTTGCTCGAACACCCCGCAGTATTAAATGACTTATTTTTTACAGCAACACCAAGAGAACGAGTGTCCAGCTTATCCCGTTTTGTGTGACAAATGCAACAAGGAGGGAATTCCTCGGGGAAAGGTAAGTTTTCTTAAAATCATTTAGCATCCTAGGGGACATTTCTTAACAACAACAACAACAAAAAAACCGCCAGTGCACTCCTCCTCCTCCTCCCTTTGTTTTTCCCGTCAGTGCAAGCATGCTTAACCACCACAGAGACTGACTGAAGAACGGACTAACACCATCAAGTCTCACCTTAATGACATTGAACAGTGCTTCTAATAGTTCTGTTTGTTTGTTTGTTTTTTTTCTTGAACTTTTTGCTTTTTTGATCACTTAGAGAGTTTCAACAGTTGCCTTGTACTTAATTTTCTTATCAGGCACAAAATTTCTGCGGGGTGTTATAGTGTATCCGTACATTTGTTATAGGGTCAATAATTCATACTGAGCCCGCGGTATATATGCGGTTACTGTAAAACCCATGTGCTTCTTAATTAATACAGTTCTTAAGATGATCTGCCATCTTGTGTGCAGTTGTCTTTTTTCTAGCTCTTTGTCCGAGAACAAAACACCGTGAACTACGTTTAGTTAGGCACGTTAAGAGCTGACTCTCATCAGATCTCTAGACAAGTCTCTAGAAGGTGGTCATACGTTTTTTTTGTCTGTTTTGATTGACTCCTTTTTATGTTTATTTCAGTTGTCAGATCATCAGGATCCAGTTTTGGGAGACTGTGATGCAGTACAGGGACCATGTCCATTCGCACAGATTGGATGCTCAAAAACTGAGGTATGAATGCGCAAATGAAAATTAATTACTGCTGAGTGGTGTGATCACTAATTGACCCTAGGAACGATTTAATCACACCTAGCATGATCTCCTCAATTTTTTGAAAAGCCTAGTCTATGATCCGGGCGTCGTGTTGAACACAAGACCTCCGCTTAGCAGAGCACCTTCTTCCAACTACGTTAACTAGGCGGTTAACTTTGGAATCTAATTTGAAATCTCCCAACTGTCATCATGATTTAACACCTGTCAGAATGAACTAAGCGAAAACCAGTTAATGAGGTGTAACACTTATTTTGTTTTCAGTTACTCAACAATAGACAGAAGAAAGAGCACCTGGAGAAAGAAGGCGCGCTTCACACCACTTTGTTACTTGAGTTTGGCCTAAGGATGGGTCGAGAAGTGGAAGCAGCTTTGACTCGTGATCCAAGTATCCTGCCGAGAAGTCCGAATATCTTCACAAACCTTGACGGCATCTTCGCTGACATGCTCGCTCAGATTCAAAGTAATACAAAGAAAAACAAGTATTTACAAGGAAAAATACAAGAGCAGAGCGGACGAATCGCCTCTCTGGAAAGAAAAATAACTTCAGAAAATTCCTTGACAGAATGTCCATCTCCTCAAGTGTCTGGTGATTCAGCTGGCAGTGTTCCGAACGACGAGATTACACGAAGGATGAGCACCCTTGAGAGTAAAATCGCTGAGCACGATTCGCTTTTGGCGAAAAACGAGGGTGAGATCATGACGACTAACAGGCGGGTTGACTTTAGTGAGCACACACTGGCTGATCGAACTGTCAGGTTGACCCATTTAGAAGACGACGTTAAGCAGCTCACACTGGGCCTTACTGATTCAGAGGCGCATGATGGTGTGTTGCTGTGGAAAATACCCGAATTTGCCCGCAGGAGGAACGAGGCAGTCAGCGGTAAACAAGTCTCTCTCTACAGCCCTTGCTTCTTCACCAGTCGCTATGGATACAAGATGTGCGCCCGCATTTATTTGAACGGAGATGGCATGGGCCGAGGAACACACATCTCTGTGTTCTTGGTGATCATGCGCGGTCAGTATGACGCGTTGTTCCGCTGGCCTTTCAGACAGAAGGTCACGTTCATGTTGATCGATCAAGATAATGTTGAACACGTGATTGATGCCTTCAGACCTGATCCCAGTAGCTCTTCTTTTCAGAGACCGAGGAGAGAAACAAACATTGCAAGTGGGTGTCCAATGTTTCTCTCTCTGACCGAATTAAATAGTCACGCTTATGTGCGAGATGATACCATGTTCATAAAGGTCATAGTTGATACGACTGACTTGTAGAGTTGCACTGTTAAGAGGAGAGGGTAAAGAGTAAGAGAACTAGTCCGCCAAATTTGTGTTACCAAATTGAAATTTCAAAACATCATATCTTTGGAGTGGATATAAGTCTTTTTTTTTTGTTTTATTTTTTTCCTTTTTATTACTGCGGATATACCATAAGAATAAAACCAAAAGTTTGAGGGGGGCCAAATTTGTGAATTTTACCAGACCAAAAAGTCAAGATCTCAAACTTGATTAAAAACGTAGAAAATGTAACACGAATTGTTTTAAAACTAAAAAAAATTATTTGATTTTGCTGCAATTTTGTTGCTAAGACCTAAACAACAGGGATGACTTTCCTTACTCTTTATACTTTATATTTACGAACGTTGCGGACATTTTACGTTTTACGTTCATTTTCATGTTGTTGGACCAGGTTCAGGCCTGAGTGCTGAAAGTATCTCTCACTCGTTCGCTTCGCTCACTCCTGAGAGATACTTTAAGCACTCGAAGATAAAATTCGTATCGTATGTAATATCCTCTATATATCATACGAAACCCGAATTCAATATTTTTCATTACTCATTCAAAATAATTCTACGTTCTTAACGACCTCACCTCGTCGTAGACTTTCTTTAAAAGATTTACCTGTTTTTTCGGCACGGTTTCAGAATAAATCCGATTTTGTTTCTTGCAGATACTCCTCGAAAAAAAGTTGACATACGTCGAGCGAACGTTTTTTGCCGTATTCTTGCATTTTTTACCGTTCAGTTTCAGTCAGAAATTTGGCTATTTCGTCTTCAGATATAGTCGTGAACACTTTCGTCATTTCTTGAGTTTATTCACTCCAGACTTGCTACTGTAGCTAGGCTGCCATGCCTCTACCTGGAAACGGTTTGCGATTGTATACTAGGACAATATACATGTATACAATCGATTTGGTATATTACTGCATCTTCCAAATTTGGTCAGTGCCAGTCGGTTATGACAAATAAACCGGGGGTTCAAGGCCAATTAGAAACGGAGAAATATTTTGAATGAGTAATGATTTTCATTGTCATAGCGTGCGTTGTTTCGTAGTTTAAAGGGACTGTCTCATGACTGTCTAGTTCATTTTGTCAGTAATGCTACTTATGCGTCCCAAGGCCCACTTCTCGAAAGTCCCGGTAACTTTCGGGTCCGAAGGCAAATTTTGAAATCAAAACCTGTTGAATAGTAGCACGGTTCGCAACTCACAAACCGGTCAATTTTGTTTCGTTAACTGATGCTTTCATTGTGTCATTTTCAAAATTATTGAAAGTTTGATCTTGATTGCAAACATCGTGAACATTAAGCGCTGTTCGGGCCCGAAAAGTTATCGGGACATTCGAGAAACGGGCCTCTTGTTTGCTACGGACGTAAGAAATTACTTATGAATGACAAATTGCAGCTTCGTGTCAAACAAATACGTCTCAAGCATTATACTAACACTTACAAACACTAAGAAAATTGAACTTTGAAAAGCTGTTAGGCTAACAAGTTTTCAAAAATCAATTTAATCTTCTTCATGTTTGTCCACCTGTGCCTCCTTTTGTATATGTCGTGTTATTTATTTCTCTTTGGAATGGTTTGAGCAGTTATTTTTGTTTTACTCAGTTTGGTGGCAGCTCCCAGCCGTTTACATTTTGTCGCACGTGACACAGCTCCTTTAAGCACCGGGCTTCAAGTGAGCGATCGCTGAGAATTATGGAGGTGAAAAGACATTGTCAGTGGTTTGTGAAAAACTTATTAAGTTAGTTTAATAAAATGAATATAACAAAGTCGTTTGAGTGTTGATGTTTATATCGATCTAGTTGTATCATCTTTATTTTTTTTCGTTTCACTGTTATTTCCTTTGCGTAACCCTTCTCCTGTTTCGATTTTTCAAATGGAGGGCGTGCTGGAAAGCTATATTTCGGGCTTTGTGAAATATCTAATGTCGCAAAGGTGGAAATTTCCTGGTTTAAAAAGGTTCACCGCTTTTTGGACCACTGGTCCTCCAGGTGGGTAGCCTCCCCGCAGACGTCCTTTGGGGTTCTTTCGTCACACATTCATTTCTAACCCCAAAGGACGTCTGCGGGAAGGCTGCCAGTTGGGGGGTTGGACGTATGACCAACAATCCTGTTGCGTAAATTAAAACACTCCTGTTACGAAAACGGCCAAAAAACCCCTCTTTTTGGGATAAAATGACCACTCACATACGTTGAGTACCTAGTTTTCTTCCCCCCCGTAAGGTGCCCCTAGTTCCCGCTCGTAAAACAAAGCCTAACTTGTCTGTCGGAGTCGATATTTTAATGCAGTGGTGTAGAAAAATGACGAAATATTTTTCTAAGCATCAAATATAATTGCCAACGAGCCATCCGAGCGAGGCGGCAGCAGAATAGAGCCACGCAAGACTGGGTTGTAATAGGCAGAAAAATTCTCGATTGAGCTGAAAAAAGTGTAACCCGTAAAGATTCCCCTGAGACCAAGTGGTCAGTTGTGAACCAATCAAAAGGTAGTACCTGGCGCATGGGCTCAAGCTGAATGTGGTAGCTTTTTAAAATACAAAATTTCATACAATTTCCGCAGTCGCGACTTCCTGCGTTTATTTACTTAAATTTATTCGTCAAACCTGGCCACTGCAGTCAAGAAACGTGAGCACTAATGTTAAGTTTTAACAAAGAGAAGTTTGTAAAACTGCAAAAGTGTTCTATGTGCAACAAGCAATATTGGCAATATTCTCACCACTAAAAAGGATCAGATTACACGAGGAGATAAGAAGAATACAGTCGCTTCTGTTGGAAAATCTGGTGTTGGGGAAATAATCTAACCAGCAAACAAAAAAAATTAGAACAAAAACGAATTACAAGCCTAAAGTGAACGACAAAGGAAAAGAAAACAACGCCATTTTTTTTCGAAACCTGGCCGAGTTCAGTATGAAAGTCTAAGGCTCCTAAACGAGCATGGGTGCAAAGTGCCATTGCTCTTGAATTTCGTGATTGAGTTTCGTTATTCTGATTGACAACCGAATGTTGAAGTAAATCACCTCTGTATTTATAGTAAATAGAAGGCTTGTCAGAAAGGCTTGAGGAACATTCCGTTTTGAAATTAATTTGTTTTAAACTGCTTGGGCACTATAACATAATTATTATATATCCATGTGTATGACTGTATTGCTATCTATATTCTTAATCATAGCTGCACCGTAACAACAGCTCAGGGGCACCCAACGAGGATATAGTTCAAAACCACTTAACATAGCATTGTTGAACGTATTTTAGTATTCAAACGGTAAATATAGGCATATTTTTAGCCCCTAAAAACTTTTCATCTGTTCGGATTTCCTAGCGGAAAGTCTAGTGATCCGAAAATTATAGGGATAAAAACTTACCTTCTCGAAAATTTCAGCCAGGAGAAGGCTCCCGAAAATTCTAGGTGGCCTTTTTTTAGGGTCAAAATCCATTTTGTCGATGTTCGAAAATCCTAGGAGGCAGGCAAGCAAGAAATTTTACAACAAATGCTCCGAAAACTCTAGATCTCAAATCGTCTTCCGAACAGATATTTTCCCGAAAATTGCCGTTGGGTGCCCCTGACAGCTGTGACTTTGGTACAGTCCGATGTGTTTATACTGATTGTAATGTTGTGGTAAAGAAAGCTGATCTTGCTTGGCACTTGGGAAATGATCATTCCCTGAACTTGAGTATATAGTAACAGTGTTGGAAATAGTTTAGCACAAACTGTAGTGACACTGCAGTACAATTTCAGTTATGAAAACGATCCTCAAGGGAAACGTTAGTATACGCATCTACACATGTAAAATGTTTTAAGGAAAGTGCGTGCGTACGGTATTTACCTATTTCGTATTTGTAAGTTATATTAAGTTTCAAATATAGGGGGTCAGGTAGATTTAAGTTTTTGCATTTTAGTTAGTTAAGGGTACTGATCTCCATAGGCCCTACCGGTACGTGCGCGAAAATCGTGTATAAATTTTACTTTGACCTGTTTTTAAGTCTGTACGCATCTACAGAACACTGAGAAAGTTTGCATTTTGGGCGTTTTCTTTTAGTTGACAGATCGCCAGATTCCAGTAGGCTGTGGAACTTTAGGAGGACCGTGTCCATTCTCCCAGATTGGTCGCTCCAAGACTGAGGTAAGATTAATTTTCGTTTCGTTTTGTTTTTTCCTTCTTATTTTCTCAATAACAATGCTATAAATTTGCCTGGAAATAAGGCTGCTTGGGCAGTAGTGAACAACAACAACAAAAATGGCATTTAGGGCTATTTGAAGACTAACTAGCTCAGAATTTCTAACTAAACATTAACGGAAGTAATGCAAAAATACGCAATATATAATTGTTCGATTGATGTTATCTAGTTTTTTTTTTGTAGAATTGGCAGGAAAAAGAGATCTGTTTATATAGCTAAAACCGTGCCGAGAAATATGCCTAACGGAGAGGTATACCTTGTAAACGCAGGCGTTTCAAACTCACTATGCGAGCACTTGTTAAAAATTAACAAATCTGGCAATATTGCGTAACGAACCGACTTTTAAGGTTTATATGGGAACAGTTTTATTTGGAAAAAAATCGCCGTATGAGAGCTTGTTCCGAAGAAATGAAATAAAATATACTTACCTATGCTGTATTTTATATTCCAGTGTTGTTTTGAAGCAATCTGGGCTGGTTATGCGATCTCGTCTTAATCTTATTATAAGGATTCAAGGTCTTCATACTGACTGCCGCGTGATCAAGGAGGAGCCACAAAGTGCGTAGAGAAGAGTAAGACAGGATGGAAAAACCAGTCCAGATCGCTTTAAAGCGACACAAGAACTCAAAGTACAGTAAAGGTAATCGTATTTCATTTCATTTCATAATAATCTGCGATACGGTGCAGTGCTGGTGAAGTGGGTGAGTGGACACCCTTGGGGATTGAAAACAAAACCTGTAAAAGGATAGATGAGCTCATTGTGAGCCAATAGTAATCCAGTTGGACTGGTGGAGTCCTTAAGCCTTGGTTGGCATTCACCTAGGAGACGGCAACTCCGAATTCAAACCAGGACAGGTCAGGTTCTATAGCTTTGAAAAGCGTCTGATCTAAGAGAACGAGACTCTGATGACAAACCCTGGGAGATCAGACCCACTGTCTGGTCTAGACTGTGATGGGTTAGCAACCCGTTCAGTCGAATATGCCCATTGCTACATGATCTTCGAAAAAAAAAAAAAAAAAATCACCTGCTTAACGGGGAACCCTTAGCACAAGGCTTGTATGACGGCAGGCACTGAAAGCCGCGAGGAAGGTGTCAGCCCGACGGGGAACCCTCAGCAGTGATTAACCTTAAGAGTCGCTGATGCGACCCTCAGTGTTATCATATTCATTCTAGGTTTACAGTAGAGGAGAGTTTTGCGGATTCGTGACGAATCCGGGCCGTTTTGGTACCGGATTCGTTTTGCTGCTGATTACACGCCGTAGATTCGTGAATTCGAAGTGAACCTCCCCCTGTTTGATCACTTGTCCAAAGATTTAGTATCCGAGGTGTAAAGTGAATACTTTCAGATATCCGAATAAACGGTTTCTCGGACTTACCGATGTGTGTAAACACCTTCGAATTCGAATACCCTAAAAGCAATAAATCTGGATAAAGCTCCTCTACGGTAAAGTAGCCTAAAAGTAGCCTAACAGTAGTCTTTATAAAATTTGTTACTGATCCGCAAAAAACAATGTTATGAAAGAAGGACAGCTGTCTGAAAGACTAATAATGTATTATGAACTACGAGAAAGATGGTTTTGGTTAGAGTATTATGAGGTCCGAGGAAGATAGTTTTGGATAGAGTAAGTCCAATAAAGTACATTTCTGATTGTTCATGTCAACTATTTTCTTTATATTTTCCAGCATTGGTTTGTGGCAAAAGTCGTGACAATTCAAAGAAACAAAAAATAAGAAATAGAGGGCCTGTATTTAACACTTACATCGAACAAAATAAACGTCGCATGTGAGATTCAAAGCTAACGACGCTTCAAGGGGTTTTTGGATATACTGATTTTTTTACAATATCGTGGGAGTTAGCAAATCACTATAAAAAATGATCAGATCTGACGGATATATTGTGGGACTGTGGGAGTTCGGACCCTCTGACGCTCCCCTGCCCCTTGGACTGCAACAAAGAGACCATGTTTCTTGCTGTAAGCAAGTACCTATGATTCGCTGAAACGTAATCGTTCAGAACTGACAGAATTAAAGCAGATGTGCATCGCTGCACGTCCCGGAAATAAAAGTTTGCCATTTACACAAACTTGCTGGAGTATTTGTATTTGATATACAGCTATTTCGATAAAGGTTGTCGGAAAAAGTGTGCACGCAACAATCTCGAAATGTAATATGGGATATAATCAATACACTGTTCCTGACACTGTAGCTGTCGAACCTGCTTTTGTTGCTTTCCTTTAGCACCCGCAAACATACGTCCATGGCCTGTCGTGTAATTCTTTCAGACTTCTTTGCAAAACCACCCACAATACCTTTCGGGATTGTCGCGTGCACTTTTTCCGACAAGCTTTCTCGAAATAGCTATATATTAGTAAAGAGATGTACTATAAAAAAGTTGTCAAATAAAATAGTCGTAAAGAGTCTATCCAAGCTAGAATTAATCTGATTTTTAATAAGACTTTTCCCAGTAGTGAAAAATACCGTATGACCAATTAGGCCGCTTACGAATTTCCACTAGTAAAGAAAAAAATCGTATTGGTTTTCCCACCTTTTGTGTGCCGTGACTTGCCGAGGTAAATGAAAGTGAACGTTTGGGTTCTTCAGCAGAAGTAAGAATTCAAGGTTTGTAGACTATCATTCAGTCAAAAAATTTATCAAGAGTCAAGAAAAGGAAAAAGAAATCTCCAAAGAATGTTTGCTTAAAAAATTTCTGACGCTGAGGAACGATTCAAATCTTCACAAAGAAAAATTCCACCGAAGGAGATGCATACATCAGCGAGTATACGATTCGAAAGCCGATGGAGGACAACAACGAAGACTATGACTTTCTTTGATGGCCAGTCTTAAATGGTATTCAAAACAGAAGAATTAATCACGTAACATTATGGAAAACGCCGATTAACAGGCAAGCCAAGCTTTACTATCACGACTAGGATCTCCATCGGAAAAGGTAAGGAAATAAACCTATCACTTTAATTGCTTTTACAGACGAGGAAATAAAAATACTGCAAGATAAAGAATCGAATTGTTAAAAACGGCGACTCCTGAGAAGCCTGATCCATGATAAAAGTGAAACTGTAAGTTAATCATTTTTCGATCAATTTTGTTATGCTTATTTTGTCTGCATTTTTTTTTTCTTGTTACTGTTATTTGACTTTGATAAAAAGTACAACGAAAGACAACAAATAAACAAAAAACATTGGTAACATCTCGCTACTCATTTTTTAAACAATTTACTCGCTTGTACAACTTTATAGTCATCATTACATATAATGTTTTGAAGAGTCTCAAACAGACTCGTACTCTGCGCTAACCTGTTCGTTTGCGATTCCAACCATGAGGTAATCTACATTAATTTTATGAAACAACAGTTTTCCAGAGAAAGAGGAGAAGAAAAAGAATATCGCCCCATGTAATGAATCTGGACAGCTCAACTGAATCCCGCCGAACGATTGGAATTCAGAATCCAGGTCCCAATTACAAGGGATCCGGACCTGAATTTACTGCGTGAAATCCAGAATCCAAGACCGCCTTGGATTACCTTCCAATAATTGCATGGGGCGAAGAAAAGGAAAACTCAGATGGAAACTACTCAGTTACTGTTGTTTGCTTGACCATGTAACAGGCACTGGCTAACTATTCTTTACTTGTGTCGGAGACTGTGGTTAAATCTTCTAGAAGCGCGTTTTATAAACCGTTTGGAAGGAAAAAAAAGCCCTAATAAAATTTTCATCTTCTACAGGCCCCCACGGGCTAAAAGAAGCCAGAAAGATCTGGGAACTGGAACATGTAGCTTGGCGAAATTCCTTTTACGGCAATTAACATTCGATAGGATGCTCGTCGGCGATGGCGGTCTCACAAGTTTGGAGGTAAGAATCACTTGTATTAGTAATATACCAGCGATTTCTGAGGCTTCCTTAACTTATTTTTGTCCCGTAAAATATGAAATGATTAAAAGAAGAGATTTTTGTACATAATTATGTATTAGTAAAAGTAAATATGCGTGTAATTAATGTTGTTCAAAAAACGGCAAAAATTCAATATGGTGGCCATTCGCATTGAAAGCATGCTATTGCGGTATTGCGCTTCTAGCAGCATTATCTGCAACAAAAAATAGCTTTTTTGCAGGATGAAGCACTGTTACGATAAAGAAGATATCTCAGCTCACGAGACGCGGATTTGTATTCTCCTACATAAAGCGCCGAACTTATATGGCACCGACAGTCAGTTGTGCTCGTTGAGATTAGCTCAAAGCTTGATCTTCAAACAAAATCGAACAGGCCCGAATCGTAACGAAAGTCTGTTTTCGTTCGAAAAGCGAACTTTATTAATTATGTGTCCGATTTCGTTTAATGACCAAAGATAAGCTGACTTCATCTTCCTGAGTTAAATTTCGTTCAATGGAAATTTGCGGATATCGGTTTCATGTGATCTCGGGGGGTAAAAGTGGCGAAGGGTCAAACGTATCAGAGATGTCAAGTACAAAGGTTTAGCGCGACCTGTTTAACTGGAAGCGAGAAGCGTTTTGCCTAAAATGTTGAAGTTCTAGGCTTTCTATTGAGTAACTTAATATTAAGAAGTTTTTATTAAATATGCTCCTTTGCTCCGTGCTGTTATTCCTTGTACTATCCACTATCAGGCACAGATCCAGAAACAAATATACACGTGATCACTTTTTGATCACTTGTGAGCCGAAGAGACGAAGGGAAACTAGGTCCCACATTCACTTAAAAACTGATTTAAGTTTAAACTTACCTTTCATTGTGAAATATCTGACTGTTTTCAGTGATACGGTGGAAACCGGTGCGGTGGAGCTGCGCCTGACTATTCATCATAGCCATGTTATGTATGTGTCACTTCGACTGTGTCGAATAGGTTAATAACACGGGGTCAAATACGTGAGCATTGTATTTACTGTTAATATTTGATTCACCTCAAATTTTCGTACACTAGTAGAACAAACTATAACCATAGATCAGCATCCTAGATAATGCTACAAAAACCGTAAAAAGCAGATTATATCCAATGTACCTTTTTATTATACAAGTCAGTAAATCGAACCGAATTTGCTACTGCTTTGATATTTGCTTTACCGCGTGGAGCTAGGGAATTTTCCCTTTCCCATAATGCACCATCGGAATTTATCACGAGACTGTAGAATTTCCTGCTTTTACAGGTTTTCTTTGATTTAGGCCCAGTTCAAACGTCGAATTTCACATGTGCCGAACTTAATTCCTGTTTTAGGGCCTCTTCATATGAGCCCGGTTGACCGGGCTGGCTCGGTTACCGGGATGAATTTTGCTTTGGGTTCATATGAGAAATTTCAGCCCGGTTTCCGAGATGAGAAAAGGTCAAAGATCCTGGGTACGAAGCCATCCGGACCGCCAGAATTCATCCCGCCGTTCATCCCGGTAACCGGGATGAAGTGTTCATATGGCAAAATTTCCAGCCCGCTTACCGAGATCTCGGTTGGAAAAACCGAGATCTCGGGAACCGAGCCAGTCCGCCCTCTCATATGAACACATCGAAAATTTTACAAAGGATTTAGAGGTGAGGCGAGATCTCGGAAACCGGGCTCATATGAAGAGGCCCTTAGTCGACTAAAATAGTTAAATACGGCATTTGATTCAAACTTCAAATTGAACTCTCTGAACTCTGTCGAATTTAACTCTGCTCGCTGTCAATATTCTCAGTAATATGATAATAATTTACAAAAATTTATGCATTAAATTCGGCACATTTGAAATGCGACGTTTGAATCAAAAGTCGAATCTTCGACTGTTTCAGTCCCAGATACGGCAAACGTCGCATTTAATTTAATCAGTCGAATTTAATTGATTCAAACGTCGCACTTCATATGCATTTAACTCTCGCGTTGAGTTCGGCACATGTGAAATCCGACGTTTGAACCGGGCCTTATAGTATAGATAGTATACTATAATCATGTTTTACGCTGGCGGTAATAAATAAACTATTTTGAAGAGTGTGCAGTTTACTTCAAAAGAAGTCTGGTGCACAGCAGTGGCTATCGATTTCAATTAAGCCTGGTTTGATAATCGTCCGAATATTGTATCGATCGTCTATGATCATCATGTTTCAGGCGATATTTATATAACTCCTTTGATGCAAAACGGGACAATCCGAACAAGACTTGGCTGGATAGACCTGAGGCCGTAAAACGGCTGGTTTAGTTAAATTAATCTCGGCCTAGCCAAACTTTGGGACGTTTAGGGTGAACCGATACGACGATTGTACATCAACGTACGAAGACTCAATTCCCGAGCCATACTTGAATGTTTTAGTCTGTACATGTAAAAATAAACAATTCATATTGTAAATCGCTTTCGTCCCTTTCATCCAAAGGTGACCTCTTGGCATCCGCGGCGTTTCTCGGCCCTAACAAAAACGTCATATAAATACATCGTTCACAAAAATACCAGTAAAGCTAGCTCAAGCTCTTTGGGACTGCGTCAGCCGGCGTACAAAGTAAAACCAGTGAGCTAAAAATCTCGCTGGAATCGCTCTGAAACGGCTCTACAGTAAACGCCACGGAAACATAGGTAATACAAAGAAGAGAGGAACAAAGTCGCATTTGTATTGGAAATTTCCTTTCCGCCATGATTCGATCTATCATGTACGATCGTTACATTTCCAAACGTAGAAACTCTTAGCATTTTGTACGCTGTTATGCAATGTGTCCTAAAGAGCTTGGGGTTAAGTTACCTCAGTCAGGGTTAGACTGATATATTATGCTCTAAAATTTGAGCATTATGCTTTAGCGTCACCCTAAAAACAACAGCATTAAGCTTAAAATTATGCTCGGGAAGTCAGTCACTTGGTCAGTAGCATTATGCTTGACTGATCTTGGTATATTTAATGCCCTTTTCCATCCCCGCAGACAAAGTCAGAAATACAACATTTTATTGCATCAGTTACAAATCCCGAACAAGCAGCCTTGATGGATTATACCACTGGCAAGCCTTAACAGGCTAGCAAAATGCAACGGTGCAACAAGACCGCATTGAAAGCTATCCACCAAGCTTTTGATTACGGTATGTTGAGTCTGTTAATCATACTAAAAGCACCTGAAAGTAAACAATTTCTCAGCACTGCATTATACTCGATGCCCCGACTGTAAAATTATGCTCAAAATTATGCCAGCATAATGTATCGATCTAACCCTACCTCAGAGTTAACTGTGGAACCAGTCATAGCTTTTTGTTAATATTCTGCATGCAGTTTCGCACGTACAACATGCACGTGACTTTCTCGTGATATTTAATTTGTACGCACTGTCAAAAGTTTCCATATTTTGCTAGACTACGAATACGTAGTTCCTCATTTTCTTACGGCTTGGAGTGTTTTCCCTTGATCGTATTCCGGAATAACAATTCTCAGAAATTTGTGGCAAATCTCTTCAACCATAGATTTTTTAACTGTCAACGCAAGTATTTCAGTAGGCTCGATTTCCGCCGTCTCCCGGGTCCGGTCTTTGATCCTTCCCGAAGAGAGACGGCTGGACGTGTGACCCGTTGACCTTGTCTGTGACGTAATTGGAAAGTTGATAATTTAGGCGTCTCCGATATCACTGGAAGTTATTACTGGGCTGCCTGTGCGCCCAGTCATAAAATGGGCTTTCGCTCGTCTGCGGCGAAAAACGGCCTCCCGGGGGAGGGAAGACACGAGGGTCTGGTACCGAGAAACGATGTTCTCACAAATGGTTTCATATGAGTTTCTCTTGCACGGAGCCTTGCACGGATACTTTTTGTACCTCGTCTGCGTTCCCCCTGAAAAACCCACAAAGCGTTGCGAACCTGAAGAAGGCTATTTGCGTTGTTCGAAGCGATTCGATCATGGGAGTCACTCTATAATTTTTTTATTGTTCGAGTTTAAGTCAGTTAGATGATGTTGACGCTGGGAAACTCAGAGAAATGCTCGCGTTGCATTCAAACCGACACGCTGTTCACGGTAGGTTCACACTAAAAGATGACTGTGAGCGTCAGGTTTGGAACGCCGTGGCCGCTTCGTGAACTCAAAGAGAGGATTATCGATCGATGTAGTACATGAGCAATTAAGAAGCACAATTTATGAGCAAGGTATTTCACCAGTTGACGACACTATGGCTGAAGACTTGATTGTAAGCCTTCGTAGTCAGTGAAGCGAACAACTTAGTTGCCGATAAATGGCACTACGCACGTCCATGAGCGAGGGACTTGACAACTTTGCCATGTTAGAAGACTGGCTTTTCCTTTAAATATTTCCTTCTATTTAATGCAACACACGCCACTTTGGAGGTCTAAATTTCGGATACTGAGGATAAAAAAGACACGGACAAAAATAGGGACTCTGAGAATTTCGCACACAAGTTTAAAGCTTCACCGGGACATCCCATCCGGGAGCTTCACAGAGAGCGACTTGAGGAAAATAGGAGCTATTACTGACAAGGTTTGGTGACTGAGTAGAGCATACAAGTGTAGCCCACGTCGAGGTTTCAGGGGGTTTGCTTTTGTTTGTATTTGTATCTTGCTAAGCTTTTATCATTAAATTTGTACATGATCTTGTGATCACAATTCTGTGTTTTCGCCCATTCAGCAAGCACGCTATATTGATGTCAGCATTAGCGAGTTTCAGAAACATGCCTTTGAAAGTTTTCAGCTCTCGTGATGTTTCTTGATATTTCTTTTACCATTTTATGAAGATGTAAACTGAAGTCACCGCAAAATGGAAATAATAAGCGTATAATGCATTTATCTCGAAACATAGCACACGACTTATACGACCTTTATTTTCGTAAAGGTGTTTTGAATACGAACGAACACAGTCAATGTGAGGGGCAAAAACAGCATTTTTAACATAAATGAACCATAGGGTTTTAACTAATGTAAGGGTCAATTATTGTGCACTGAGATGAATCGCTTGAAAAGAGAGACTTCGCTTGAAGATGTGATCAGAAGTAAACAAAGGCATAATAGTGCGTCACGTTCAGTCTTTTTAACATCCAAGGAGTCACTGTGAATAGTGTTTCCATATTGTTTAGCTGGCACAAAAACTTCGGACGAGTTATAAAGCGGCAGAGTTATCTTCCATGAAGAAAAGTTCGTCTTGGGTGAGACAAACAGAACTGGAGCGAATTTTTAACTCGCATCGGTATCAGGTAAAAAATATGTTATCGATCGTTTCATCTATTTACATTGTTTGAAGTGCGTGCTGGTGAACGCAACATGCGAGCGAGAAATCTTTAAACTTTTTTAGGTGTCAAAATGCAAGGGATTTTATTCCTTTAAGTTAGAGAAAAATACCATGAGGGAAATCTTAAAACTGAATATTTTTCTTCTTGTGGAAAAAATAGTGTGTTTTCTTGTAGACTGTGGACCGCAAATTAGGATCGCACTTTTCACAAACATGCGAATTGTGAAGTTCAGAAGCCAACCGGCGATTGCGTTTTACGCTGCTGTCAATCATCTTAACGGACCTCTTAGGAAACAAAACTTTACTTCACGGGTTCAAAAGGTCATGGTTTGTGATTTGTGGATTTCGATCCGTTTGGTGTGTTTCTCTGTTTCAAGGTTCGTTGCTTGTGATCGTAATTATGATTGACGGCAGCGATAAACACAATTGTGAAGGTGGCTTTTGAACTTTAGAGTTCGCATGTTTGTGAAAAGTGCAGTAAAGTCTACGTGCAGTCAGTGAGGCCCCTGGATCAGGCGGGATCAATGGGCAGTTAACTGTCTGTTTTAGTATACTTCTGGTTTTCATACAATACAATATTTCTGTCTAGTGTAAATCAGCTCATTATACTCGTAGAACGACAACAATTTTTGGAATTTCCAGTTACGCCAAATTAGTTCACGTTATACTGTCACGCTATATTTTGGGGCACAGAGGGATTAGGGGAGGGGTACGTGGAAATAATGCAAATTGTTTCCTGCTTAGAATTAATTGCTAACTTGTCTATTTTTATTCATAATGGCGGAATTTAAAAGTTATTATACAGCCCCCACTTAAAAATGGTACTCTTTTTTTTTGGTTACGAAAGTCTTTCAAAAGGGTACAATGTTCTGAATGAGTTTATGTTTCAGTCTCACATTGGGTTCTGTCGCATGCAATGGTTGCCGACAAGGTTTTATGGTAGCCTGAGTGTGTATAGCCGCCCCCTCCCCTCAGAAAAAATAGCCCCTTGTCAGCCCAGTTAAAAATCGCCTTTCGGCGATTCTTGTTTCTTATTTATTTGGCTCAAAATCACATCAAGCGTACCCTTACCCACCCAAATGACTTTCGAAATAGTTTTTTCGGTACATTTCCCTACATTTTGAAAAAGATTCTTCGGTACATTTCTGTACACTCCGACATGTAGTTAATTTTCTTTGGTCTTCGAATATTGGTTGCGTCTTCTGTGGGTCCGAACTAACTGATTCTTGGAAGCGGACCAAATTAAATGGAAAAGTTTCTGATTTACCAGACAGAATTTCCAGCGTATTGAATGTTCCTCTGTCAAATATAAACGTGGACGGTTACATCTGTAACGAACGCAGTTATCGAGACATAAAGCGCCTTGAAAAGATCCTTGAAGATGCAAAATCTCTCCAACCACACTCATCAACAACAAACAATCGAACAAAACTTTGTGTTCCTTTCGGGACTCTAGAATTTCGCCTAGTGTCTCCGCGCCGTCGAAATCGCCCCGCCATGCGATGGATCAAGGACGGACTTTCTGTTTTGATGTGATAATTTCTGCGACAATCTTTGCCAGACGAAAATCTGCAGGCGGTAAAATGATTGGCTTAAACCAACAAAGGAAATCGCACGCGTCCAGCCGCTTTCTCGGGGGATGAGTGTGGGCTCATTTCCCGAACAGCGGCTGGTAATCGAGCCTAGTATTTCAGACGAAGCCCCGTTTTCAATGTATTTATGGGGGATGGGGTGTTTTGATCCTCGAAGGCAATTAACGAACCCTATCCGCGCCAGTGGTCTAGCATTGAACTTAGTTACTTCTACTCAGCTCCTTCTGATAATTTTAAAATTGCTGTGACTATTCATCTTCCAGCGGAGAGGCGACTAACTCATCATGTGCATGCGATGGTGAAGAGTTCTATCTGCTCGAGGTTAGTTACTGTGTTACATAATAAACCTACCATTGGCTATAGACTGCCCAAATATAATCCACGTATTGTCATCCAGCTATTAATTAATATTCATCGGAGCCTCGAAGCCTATGTATTTATTAGCCTTCGTACCTGGCGGTATTGTGTAGTAGTCGAGTGAGATTTGGCGGCGAAGCCTCCCTCCGCCCACCAACCCTTCATCACTCCATCTACCTCTTTCTCCCTCCATCCCCGCTTCATACCATACCACCCTCTAAGTCTAATTCCACTTCCCGCCTTTCGTCCCTCCACTATTCCTTTTGATTCTTCCTCCCTCCAAGCATCCGTTGATTCGTTTAATTAAAATGTTGACTAGTTATAGCAATCGCTAAGTGCCAACGAGCAAAGATTTTACCTATACGCGCGTGCTGTTCGATTTGTTCAGAAATGTCATGAATTACCGTAATTTACAAGAATACAGGCTGCCGGTTAGTCATGTTTCCGTCATGGAACTCACTCATGCATCATATTTATATGCACGTGTTCGCTCGAAAACAATGCATTCTCTGTTCTGCTTTACGTCATAAAAGTTACCTTTCACTACCTTATGTTACATCGCTTCGATCAGATTCATTCAGCCTTGGAACTTATTATGCTGGCCTTATTATGCTGCCGCCTCGCAGCCTCGCGTCTTTGCAAGGCTGCTCGTTGGCAATTAAGTCTTACTAATTGATTACAATTGACTGTTTAGTTAGCAGAGCTTCAGGATCAAGTTGCGGTTGGAGTACAGGGAGTATGCCCATTCGCTAAGATTGGATGCTCAAAAGCTGAGGTATTTTCATTACAGCAGACGTTCATAAATGTTCTTTATAGCCGGTTTTCTTGTGTTTACAACCCTGTACTCTCTTGTTTCATATCTTGTGTTTTCTTTGTCTGCGAACGGCATAAACTCGTCAGTTTCCGTCTAGCTCCCTAACCTTCTATTCGCCAGTTTTCCTGTATCATATCACATAAAGAGGGCATGAAATATCGGTGGAGTGACACCAGTCACAGGTATACAGTTTGTCTCCACCAAACTTAAATGGGAAAGAATGTGTGCACTGAGAGGACCGAGCTGGACACGGTCTATCTCCAATTTGTGTTTCTTGTCAAGAAACTCAGATCAATGGCTTCTCTTTGGGGCCGTGAGTTTGCATGCACTATTAAAATAGGCTCTCGGTTGAAAGTTGTTTTAAAGCAGCTGCAAGCCAGTTTTTATGATAAAAAGACATTGTTAACCACAATTTAAACAATTGTTTCCCGTTGCCAAATTGGATTCATTCATACAGCCTAGAATTGGAACCAGATATAGTTATTTTCCATTCTTGTAATAGGTCCTCAGGCATAATGAGAGGATAGAACACCTAAAGAAGGCAAAGTCTTACCATACAATGTTGATTCTTCACTTTGCGCTCCATTTGGGTGAACAAATGAATTCACTTTTGACAAATGAGCCCAGCATGATGTCTAGGCTGTGCATCTTCAGAAATTACGACGACATTGTTTCCGACATACTCTCTCAAGTAAGAGCCAATATAGCAGCAAACAGGCATTTACAAAAAGAGTTACAACAACACAGCGAACGAATCACCTCTTTGGAAAGAAGAGTTAGTACAGGTATTTTTTCAGAAGCGATCACATCTGCTGATTCTGCTTGCAGGGTAACGAACGAACAGGTGGCAAATCTTGAGAAAACGACGGCTAAGCACGAGTTGATCTTAGAAGAAAGAAGCCGCACAATGAAGCAGGCAAATAGAGACATGGGTAATGCCAGGCGACTGCTTGATACCATCCAGGATACCACCAGGAGGTTAGAACGAAGGATTGACTCCATAGAGCACACGCTGGCTCTCAGAAATGTTGCCCAGGTCATGAGGCAACGACTGCCTCCTAGTTATGACGGCCACCTGGTTTGGAAAATAACAAAATTTTCGTGGCTGCGAAACGAAGCAGTCAATGGTCAGCAAAGGTCATTCCTCAGCCCTTGTTTTTTCACCAGCCCCTGTGGATACAAGATGTGCGCCCGCATATATTTAAACGGAGATGGCATGGGCCGAGGAACTCACATCTCTCTGTTCTTTGTGGTCATGCGCGGTCAGTATGATGCGATTCTCCGCTGGCCATTCAGACAGAAGGTCACGTTCCTGTTACTGGATCAAGATAACGTAGAACACGTGATAGACGAGTTCAGACCTGATCCTAACAGCCCTTCCTTTCAGAGACCAAGAAGGGAGGCAAACATTGCAAGTGGGTTTCCACTGTTCTGCTCGCTTACTCAACTAAGCAGACGCGCCTATGTGCATGAAGACACCATGTTCCTCAGAGTTTTTGTTAGCGACCTGGAAGATTTTGTCGTACAGGGGCTCTAAACCCGTGAGTTGTTGGTAGACTACTTACTTTGAGGTTAGCGAGTAAGATGGACGCGTTTTTTATTTAGCGTCGAAATCTCTTAATTTGTGAAATGAATATACGCTGAGATGCAATCTGGTGCATTCTTAGACACAATTTTGAGAAATGTTCCAGTGTGTGCACTCAACTCGTCGCGTCTGTATAATTTTTCCAATATAGTTACTTATATACTTACTTATTCTGTAATGATACCAATGCATTTTGGGGGGGGGGAAGCTTCTACCCCTCAAATACCCTAGATAGAACCCTGTTCTCTCACAGTCTTTAGAACCACTCGAATTGGCAGGTCCGTTGCTTTGAAAAGTCTAAAAATGACAAATATTTAGACATCACTACCTGATCACCTCCACCCTCTCCCTCCAAAAAGATCTTTAACCTTCTTCAACTAATAATATCAAGCGTCAAACCAATATCCTTATATCTTCTTCTGTGGCATCGTGCTTCCCTTCATTTTGGCAGGCAACGTGTATAGTATTGTAAGGTAATGTAAGTGTTTGGGTCGGCTGACCTTTGCTCATTCATTCATCTCAAATCCCCTTTGCTGCTTCCATTGAGCAAGCACTCATTTGCCTTAGTGTTACTGAAGATTGTTAAGCCTGTTCCGGTTATTATATATTTCAATTTATTTTTTGGAAACCATTTTTTAATTTTTTTGACGTGCTAGGACAGTGCGATAATTTTCAAATTGAAGGTCAGAAGGAATATTAAGGTGGCTCGACTGGATTTTCTGGGGTCGATACCTCCCAACTTTGAGCATTAACTACGTCGGCATGAGTAAAGATATGGAAAAAAGGTTACCACAACTGTATTATATAAAGATAAAAATTTCTTATGATCTGGGTTTTATTGCAATCGGAGTCGCCATGGCAACGTAATGACGCCATTACGTTTTTCATTTATCTTTGTGTTTCTCTGTTCCAGGAGTTTTTTGAAGAAATCGCTTAAGGGAGTATGTACCTGCTATAATTGCCTCCATTATGGCATAGTTTGAACAAATTCTATGAGAGCGTTTTCGAAATATTTTAAAATGTAGTTTTAAGAATAATAAAAACAGTGAAATAGCATGCTAGCCACACAATTCGCTAATATTTTAAGAAAATGATAAGCTTTGGCAACGAGGCTTCATCTCATATTGATTTGATTCCATTGAAAACTGCATACCAAAAAAGAGGGGAATTGCTCTGGGCGATCGCGAGTAAGAAGAATTTTATTAACTTGCATTCAGCTGCTTTTGATACAGTTTTTGGACGTAATTTGGTCCATGCCCAAAAATTTCGCATTTTTCCAAAAACCGCTCGATAAATTTTTTTATAAATTCGACAATCCCGAGACCAATCGTCAAGAAATATTCCCTGCAAGTTTCAAGAACATTGAAAATAGGGAAGGTTTTTAAATAGGGCCTCAAATATAACAAATTTTCCCCCCAGATTTTGTGTTTACAAGTGAGCGTCCTCATTATTCACTAGCATTGTTTTCAAATTTCATATGCACGTGCACAACTAGCAGAAGGTATAAATTTGAATCAAAAAGAACTCTCGATTACTTTCCAAAGAAATATCCGGAATATGCTAATAACTGGCTTGTCGTCACAGATAGCAGTGAGAGCCGAAACGGTGAAAGTCACGGCTCATCGTGTGGGATGCAATACTTAATTATCTTACTCGGGTTATAACATCACAGAAACTCTCCCAAAGAGTTGCTCTGATGTTATAATGTATCATTAATCTCTTTACCCGATAATTAGCATATCCCGGAGATTTAACCGAGGGTCCTTTTTGATGCAAATTCTATCTTTTTGCTAAATGTGCACGTGTATATGAAACTTGAAAACAATGCCAGTGAATAATGAGGACGCTCACTTGTGAACACAAAATCTGGGGGGAAAATTGGTTATATCTGAGGCCCTATTTAAAAGCCTTCCCTATTTTCAATGTTCTCAAAACTTGCAGGGAATATTTCTTGACGATTGATCTCGGGATTGTCGAATTTATAAAAAAATTTATCGAGCAGTTTTTGGAAAAAAGGCGAAATTTTTAGGCATGGACCAAATTACGTCCAAAAACTGTATCAAAAGCAGCTAAATGCAGGTTAATAAAATTCTTCTTACTCGCGATCGCCCAGAGCAATTCCCCTCTTTTTTGGTATGCAGTTTTCAATGGAATCAAACCACTATGAGATGAAGCCTCGTTGCCAAAGCTTATCATTTTCTTAAAGTATTAGCGAATTGTGTAGGTAGCATGCTATTTCACTGTTTTTATTATTCTTAAAACTACATTTCAAAATATTTCGAAAACGCTCTCATAGAATTTGTTCAAACTTTGCCATAATGGAGGCAATTATAGCAGGTTCATACTCCCTTAAGCGATTTCTTCAAAAAACTCCTGGAACAGAGAAACACAAAGATAAATGAAGAACGTAATGGCGTCATTACGTTGCCATGGCGACTCCGATTGCAATAAAACCCAGATCATAAGAAATTTTTATCTTTATATAATACAGTTGTGGTAACCTTTTTTCCATATCTTTACTCATGCCGACGTAGTTAATGCTCAAAGTTGGGAGGTATCAACCCCAAAAAATCCAGTCGAGCCACCTTAAAGTGTTGAATTTCGCTATCTTTGATTGATGGAAAACATCATTCTAAAAGTTACCATGATACTTTTGGGTATTGTAGTCTATGATGGCATCAAACCTTTCCACGTCGATTTGACTGATTAACCATACTTCTTAAATATCAGGGGCACCCAACGAGAATATAGTTCAAAACCACTTAAACATAGCATTGTTGAACGTATTTTAGTTTTTAAACGGTAGATATGGCCATATTTTTAACCCCTAAAAATTTTTTATCTGTTCGGATTTCCTAGCTGAAAGTCTAGTGATCCGAAAATTATAGAGATCAAAACTTGTCTTTTCGAAAATTTCAGCCAGAAAAAAAGACTCCCGAAAATTCTAGGTGACCTTTTTAGGGTAAAAATCCGTTAAAAACGGGCAATTATACCATTTTGGGGGGGTTCGAAAATCGTAGGAGAGGCGGGCAAGCAAGAAATTTAACAACAAATGTTCCGAAAATTCTAGATCTCAAATCGTCTTCCGAACAGATATTTTCCAAAAATTGTCGTTGGGTGCCCCTGAAATATATACCACCTATTAACAGAGAGTGAGGTAGTTACAGGGAAATCTCAGACCAAGGCCATAATGTATTGACCGCCGAACGATAGCGAGGTCAATACGGCCGAGTTCTGAGATGATGAAAGTAACCACAGGTATCTCAAACTAAGTGAGAATCGTCCATCGTTATAAGGGTTGGTATCACGGGGGATTTTAGCGATTGTTACTTTGGGGTAAAAAAAAAAGTAGTAAAAATACATAGAATTTCTTTCCCTATCTCTTTGTTTAAATTAATGATAATAATAATAATAGTAATAATAACAACAACAACAACAGCAACAATAGACTTCTACCTTTAGCTTTGGTCCTTATCGAATGGGCTCAGCTATCGTGTAATTAATAATAATAATAATAATAATAGCAATAATAATAATAATAATATTAAATGATAATAATCGAAATTAATTGTTTTTTTATTTGAAATGAATCTTTTTAAATGAGGTGTTTTTTTTTTAATTGAAATGAAGTGTAAATAGTGTTTTGAGTGAATTGTTTTTAAAACGAAATTAATTGATAGGCATAATGGATGGCTAAGTCATGCACATGTTTTACAATGAATTTATGTATATATATATTTTTTTCAACTAACTCCTATGCTTTTAGTTTAAGAATTTCATGTATGTATATGTTGAGGAACTATAATTACCATAGTGCAGTTTTTTGCTTTTGTGTATAGGTTTTACAAGATTTTAATAAAGTTCATTTCTGATTATTTATTATTTTATTTAAAATAATAATAATGATATTAATGATAATAAATTTCAGACCTCGAACTTTAGCATTGTTGCTGAGAAAAGCGGAAATGAAACGTTCTCTTTCCGTGTAGGATGTTCCTTGCGTGGCCGATTTGTTAGGACGAGAAGGTAAGAAGATTGAAGATCATTTTCAGTAGTTTTCTTCCATTTTATCATACCGTATTAAGTATGTTAAGCCATCATACTTTCATAATACAGCTTTTCAGATAATAACAAGTTTAATTAACATCTATGCACGGCGAACGACTATTAGCGTTATAAGCACTTTTAGGCACAACTAGTCCAGAAAAGTTGTACCTTTTATATATATATATATTCTCTTCCAGTCAGAGCTTCTGGAAACTCCTAGGCGACACAATTTTTTACAGGTAGTTATCTGATTGACTGTATTTAATGTACTGTGCGTGTGAATTATCAAATGTTGATGGCTAGATCGAGACATTACAAACACGGAACTCTTGATTTAAAACCGACTTTCGTACTGTACTTCGCCGGAGCACTGCATCCACGTTGTAACATGTTTTACTTTCACTTTGAGTACCGAAGGAGGTTTCATGTCTTTTGTATTTCATTGTGAATCATCGTCGCTATCCTAAAGTAACCCAGCTAGAAACACTATTTTATTTCTTATTGTCGGTAAAGGAAGAATGTGTTGCCGTATAGTAGGAGCAAGCAGGAAGCAAACTTTACATCCGCTTGCGACGATTATTAAGCAGAGTGGTCAAACTGGGAAAACCACTTACATTCAAATCATGTTAGCCCCAAAGATAGTTGGCAAAATGTGGGTGCGCTCACAGAACACAAACGACAGCTTGAAGGAATCGAATGATCTGAAACGATGGAATGCGGAACTTGAGGTCGATCGGAGTCACTTTGAAACAATCAGGACCGCTGATACAGAAATCAACCTTTACGTAATAATATTAGTAATAATAATCTTTATTATGCTTTGTCAATGTACATGGTTAATATTACACTCTAGGAAATTTAATTACAGTACAAGATATATTAAATGTAACGAAAATAATGTGCAAGCTAGGGAGCTAAATGAACCAGTTGGTTTTCTTGTTAGCTCCCTGAACAATTTAGGTTCTAGGTAGCGGGTGAAATCAAAGGAAATACAACTAGAAAAAAAGAAAAACAAAACAAAGAAGGAAGAAGTTATATTTACATGAACTATGTTACTTCATCAACAAGACGAAAAATTATTTCATTTGTTGTTCTGACAGTAGAAAACGTATAATTTTCTTCTTCATAAGCCTAACCATATCAATCCTTTTGCAATCTTCTTTGTCACGGCCCCATAAGGGTAACGCAGGATCTGGCTATGAGGTGACGCTCAACCAACCAGATGCCGAAGGGTGGCCTTACTGAGCTGCCATGCTGACAAAGACTATACAGAAATACTGCGTTGCATGAAAACGAAAAAGGTTTTCATCAACAGACAGCTAAGAGCATACAAATGGAAGTAGTAAACCCACTGAATTCTTTTCTGATACACGAGTCAGTTTCAACCGATTGCACTGAGAATATAAATAAATGATGTTCTAGTTTATGGTCGGCACAGAACGAATTTTAATCATCAGAAGCTGCAAAGATGTGGGAAACTTGCCTAATGGAAACCTGGGTTAATATAAAGTAAGTTATAGAGTAAGTTTATTAAAACTCGTCGCAATAAAATTAATACTGAATTGGTGAGCATAAAAATTTACAACACTAATTACAAAGCTTTACAAAATAGACTGTAAAAATACTACAGATTTACCTAGATATTTACAAATATAATTATTAATAATAATATTACTTGGAAGAGTTTACCTAAAATATCTAAAATGTAAAAAATGAATCTGCTCTTTTGGTCCTACAAGTAATTGAGCCATTAAATAGAAGTAATTTCTCGGAGTTTTTTCTGAACTTGTAATTACAAGTACCTGCAACTGGCCTAGGTAACAATTTAAATAGAGGATGGTCTCTGGATTTCATCTTTTCCATATATTTGTAGCATAAGTCTTCTCTTCTCTCTCACAGTGTTGGCAAGTCAAGTTAGCTTGACCCAGGGCCTCCGTATACAACTCCTCCGCGGGGAAAACTATCTATTGAGTAAGTGCTCTCTTTTGCACTGACTCTATTACATCAGCCAAGTAGTCTGGGACAGATTGCCACACGGGCACAGCGTATTGTAAAACTGGTCTTATCGTAGTAAGATATTCTTTCAGAAAGCTAGCTCTGCTAACACCCGCTCTATATAGTACCCTTAGGGAATATAATTTCTTACAGGCTTTATTAACAATGTAGTTCACATGACACTGTTCCATTTGAGGTAGTTGCTCAAAATGACACCTAAGATCTTATAACATTTAACTTGCTCAATAACGTTATTCCCTGTTATAATAGAGTTGGGTAATACGTTTGAGTTGTGAAGAAAGTTTACAAACATCTCTTTGCACTTAGTTGGATTTAACTTCATATTATGAGCTATGGCGAAATTGTGAATGTCAGAGGTAGCACAGTTCAAGAGACTGATAGAGTTCCTAGGGATAATCTGTAGAGCTGATAAGTCGTCTACGAATTTGATACGCAGATGCCAGTCAGGGTTACTGGCGGAGTGGTTACTATCTGACAGAAAAATCCGGTTGGGGTGTAATATTACATAATCTGCGTTATTATGGTAATCAACACACTATACGCGCGTGCTCCGTGACTCATCAAAATGGCACAAATTAATAATATTTCACCAAAGCACTGCTTGCACGAGAGTAGGTTGATCCAGTTCGAAGATTTATGGAGGGTTTACAGTTCCGATCGACGAAGTTAAGTTTACCTCTTTATGCAAGTGTTGGAAAGGTAAGATGATAAAGAGGCTAGGATAGTTGTGATGATTTTTGACTTCTATTTAGTCTTGATGACCTTGATACGTAACTTGTAAGTCCTATAAATGGTCCTCAGTAGAGTTCTGCAAAAGGTTGAAATTCATGGTTTTTTGAGCAGAACTTACACCATAATAACTCGCGGTACCATCTGCTATAGTCATTGGGAAATTCTACACTGAAAGGTATGCACGCAGTTTATGTTGGAACCAGTTGAGATCATAGCTACACATTTGTTACGTAACATAATACTCCTGATTTTGTTTTGAATTTCTTCTATATAAGTGCAATTTTGGGATAAATTTTGTGCGGTGACCAGTTTATATCAATTGACATCCCTTTCAAGACCTCGGAGAAAGTGCCACACCAGCTACGGAACCTTCTGAAAGTCACCTACAAGATACGTTTTACTTTGTCTGATAAGACATTTTGTTCACTTTTTGGCTATTTGACACAGCGTTATTTATTTCATAGCACTTACCTGAACTATTTTATGGATGTAATCAGCGGTAATGCCCGATCAACCGATGTATAAAACAAAAAATAGATAAGCAAAAAACAATATTGAAATATATAAATATTACAAAGGGGGTGGGGGGAGGAATAGAGAAAGGGAGAAAGAAAGAAAGAAAAAATCTCTAGGCGGCCTAGACTGGTTTACAGTGTTAATTTACCGGACATTTTGTTTTGATCATCATTTTTTTACCTTTTTGCATGTGATAACCTGAAATTTAGTGATCCATGCGCGCCGTCAAATATTGCCATCATGTTCTTGCCTACAAACCGGATTAGGAAAGTACTTAAGGGACTCTTTCAAGATCCATATTTTCTCCTCTCGAGTGGCCATTAGCACAACGCTAGTTTCTGGTTAGTTCTCTGTAGCAGTGAAGAGTCGATCACCTTCGCGTTCTTAAGAGCGAGACGACAGAGGTATCGTGTGGGCGACGAACATTTAAGGGCGGTTTTTCGAGCATTATTACTTATTGCTTCTGTTCGATCGGTGTCTGGTAATCGAGCCCATGCTCCTCAAAAACTACGAAAGCTGCTTTTAAAAAAAAGGGGAATCCCCTGCACCAAGTTGTTGATCTAATACGTGGGCTTCATCCAATCAGCCTTCACCAGCAGGAAGTAAATTTGCATTGCAATGTATCTTATGATGTATCTTATGTCATTTAAGGGCTGCTCATCGTGCTCTAAAATCTACTTTTTTTTCATATTTCGACGGCACTCAACATGAAATTGTATAGCTCGAAGACACATCGAGTCCAGTCTAAGACTGCTCAAACACGCACTTATGAAAGTGCGTTTCTCTTCGGATGTGCACTGAGAACATGTGAGAAACTTTGTTAAGTTATTCTGTAAGTTTTAACACGTTCAAGTTCCTTTAATACTGAACCTTCAGATAATCACTCACGTACTTTGAATTTTTTTTTTTTTGGGAACTTCGAATTGTTTTTTACACGGTCACGCATGGAACCGCAGGGTGGAAGTCCACGTCAACGCCGGCTGTAAATTGCCTATGGTTATTTTCCGCTTGAGCGATACCGTCTATAGCAGACAATGAAACAAGACCTGATTTTAAAAAAAGCCT